TACAATATGGTAAATAGCATGACTTGAATCCTTGGCCTTGCCTTTGATCTATCTGACCTACCCCACAGGTATAAAAGGCAACCCTGTTACGGTGTTATCACTCTCTTCCTTCTCCAGCCCACTCCTCCCTACTGATGAGCCTCGGGAGTGATCTAATACAGCTACCTGTCTAGGGGTAGAGGCAAAACAGGATTATTAGTGTATAAGTTAATTGATATACTGTGACCAGTGGCGTACCCAGGATTTCGGCTCGGGGGGGGGGGGGGGGGCGACAAAATTTTTTTCTAATAAAGCTGCGGGGCGTCAGCCACGCACTCCGAAAAATTTTTTGGGATGTTTTCCAAAATTTTTCCGGGCCCATGACCCCAAAACTTCAGAAAAAGGGGGCGTGGCGGCAGCCACGCCCCCTGTGTTGAGGTAACGATGGATATATTTAGAACGATAAACCTCGAATACCAAGAGACCACGATACTTGACTGCTGCCACGCGGGCTTATTCTTGATGTTGCGTACCTCAAACTCAAAGTTGGGTAATTAAACCGTTTATGAAGTAGTTATGAGAAAAAACCGACAAAATAACAAACACAAAATAATATGAAGCTAAACTACATAACAAATACGAATTGAGTGAAAAGTGCTGAATGATACACAGGAAACTAATGAAAAGGATACACGAGGCACACAAATTGCTATTATACTTGTTTATCCTTTTCTGGTTAATACGTGAATTTTATACTTGACTTTTATGCTAATTTTGTAGGATTGTTTTCTCAAAAGATGGACGAAAAAGAATGTAAAAAAGTATTCAAATTCAACTCAGTAAATATGAGTTCTACTGTAACACGCGTTTATATACTTTGACAAAAGATGTCACAGGAAGATATGATAGAAAAAATGCAAATATGAAAAGCAACAAGAGTGATGATGCAGCTGCGCTTGACGTCTCTCGAAGTTATCTCGGTCATCATCTTTTGCGATGCTGAGAAACTGACACGCAAAGCATTTTTTCTAAAATAAACATAACACAAAACAGGAGTTCAGCTCAATAATTACTTGTGTATCGTGGAGTAATTTCTTGTGTATAGTGAGTCGTTTCACGACACCCCCGAAAATTTTTTTTACAAGGCTGATTTGATTTTTTAAAAATTTTTAAAAATTATTTTAATTATTTACAAGTAAAAACAAGTCCTCTCTAATTTTTATAATATACTAGCTGGCTTACCCGGCTCCGCCGTATGTTCCGAATAGAAAATTCCATTTCTTAACCGATCCGGACCAAACCTGGCACACATACACTTCGGGCCCCGGCGGGTGTCACAGTCCACTTTTCGTCATCGATCGATGTCGATTTTATCGATTTTTTGCAAAATTTGAGCTAGGGGGCTGGAATTTGGCAGGGGGTGTAATCGAGCATGCTGATCACCCCCACGGGGGTGATCAGCATGCTCGATTACCCCCCCCCCCCCTGTGCCAACTCCCAGCCCCGTAGCTCGAATTTTGCAAAAAATCGATAAAATCGATATCGATCGATGACGAAAAGTAGCCTATGACACCCGCCGGGGCCCGAAGTGTATGTGTGCCAAGTTTGGTCCCGATCGGTTCAGAAATGGAATTTTCTATTCGGAACATACGTACAGACAGACAGACATACAGACAGACAGACAGACAAACAGACATTCAGCTTTATATATAAGATTTGAGTAACTTTCAAAAATTTCGCGACTTATTCTCGGGGGGGGGGGGGGGCCCTCGGTACGCCACTGACTGTGACTGCTGGTTTAGGATTCTAAAGCATTCGTCCATTTTGGACTGTGTCGACTTTATAACACAGCAGTCATCGATGTAACGACAGTACATCAATTGTAAGCGTGCCAATACTGGTTCCTCAATTTTGCGCAGCAAATGGCTAGGACTGGGGCTAACCGTTGACCAATCGCCAATCCACGAATCTGGGAGTAGTTCCCAGACCATTTGCAGATATTACATTTTAAGCATTTCTTGATGAAAACCAGTATGCACTCTTTGCTCAAACCGAAGGTGACCATGTTATTATAGTGAGAATCCAACATCTCAGACAGTGCTTGCAGTGCGGCATCATTCTGAATATTGGTGTATAGTGAAGTGACATCGAAAGACTCGATAACACTGTTTTCACCTTTCAATAAAGTAACAACAAACGAGCTCAGTTCCATGTCTGCGACAACTTTTAAAATACGACCGATATAAGCTGTGTTAGTGGCCCTGCAGATAGGATAGCTTGGCTTCTCAATAAGATCGTAAGCCAATTGCTCCCGAATGTTTCTGCGCATTTGACCAACACTCAACAGTTTGTAAAACAGTTGCGAGACGTGAATATAGGTGAAAACAGTGTTATCAAGTCCTTCGATGTCACTTCACTCTACATTAATATTCAGAATGATGCCGCACTGCAAGCACTGTCTGAGATGTTAGATTCTCACTATAATAACATGGTCACCTTCGGTTTGAGCAAAGCGTGCATACTTGTTTTCATCAAGAAATGCTTAAAATGTAATATCTGCAAATGGTCTGGGAACTACTCCCAGATTCGTGGACTGGCGATTGGTCAACGGTTAGCCCCAGTCCTAGCCATTTGCTGCGCAAAATTGAGGAACCAGTATTGGCACGCTTACAATTGATGTACTGTCGTTACATCGATGACTGCTGTGTTATAACCTCTACACAATCCGAAATGGATGAATGCTTTAGAATCCTAAACCAGCAGTCACAGTATATCAAGCTTACACGGGAAACTCCGAACAACGGGTGGCTTCCCTTCCTGAATACGCAGATACAACTTTACGCCAAGTCAGCGCATCCGAAAGCAGTAAAACAAGATGTTGTGCGCAACATGTTCCGGACTGCCGCGAATGTATGTACGATTGCACAAGAACGTTTTGAATCTAGATTACTGGCTTCACAAATTGCGCGAGACAATGACTACATGCTGCAACCTTTCGCTATTCATAAGGCCTTTAAGTTTGCCAGCAATAATAGTCACTCAAATAATAACGACAATAAGGTACCTCTATGCATACCCTTCATTCCTGAGCTCAGCAATCAAACGATGTGTGGTACGAGCACAACTACAAGATGAAATAGTGGTAAACATTCCGAATGACAATATAAAGAAACAGTTAATAAGGAATAGATTGTATGATATTGAGTGTCTTCCGGAAAACTGCGTCGTTTGCCCATACGGGAAAATGGGCGATTGCGCGAAACTGGGGTGGTCTAGCAGTTGCAGTGCCTGAGTTGTGACGCTTTATACATTGGAGAGACAGGTAGAATGTTGAAGGTGAGAATAAAGGAGCATTTAATGAATAAGAGGCGAGCGAATGCGATGTCGCCGTTGGGAAAACATAAGATAGAAGCACATAACGGCGGTTTTGAGTAAAATGCACAATTCTATCATAAGGCAGAAATTGTGGTACGAAAAAGTATGGAAGCGGCATGGATTTCCGTTAGGAATCCAGGCATGAATAACAAGACTTAATGCTTATCGATAGCGACCGAACTCTTGCCGTATCTGTAGATATGTGAGTTACAGCCTGCACATATATAAAGATCGATCCACTGAACAGCTCTCAGTGTTGTCCGTGTCCTTTGTGCGGTCACTGAGTTCCTCACTAACACCGCAGTGGCTCAGAGGTCAGTTTCTACACCGTCGTGTGTCCCAGTATGTTGCGCGCGAGGCGAGGTCTAGACTCGCTGATGTTTCGTGATGGCGTTTGGCGGTGTTGTCTCCCAGATTCAAATTGCAATCTGCTTCAGACCTCCGAAGATGACGACTGTATCGAACGTAAGGTCGAATAAAGACCCACCGTAAAAACCTGGGTCCGGCATACTAACACACAAAATTACTACATCAGAATGCCCAGGTTTAGAGAAGAGAGAACATAGAAATCACTAATGTGAATATTGTTATGTACATTGAGTAATCATCTAACTGTAAGCAAAAATCAGAAGAAATTGGTGAAAAATGATGACTACTGTGTACCTACCGTGGCCCGACAGACTACGGCAGTTCTACACATCAGAGAATGCGCCTCGCCAAACTGAGCGCATGTCTGATGTGGAGTGTATATGCATGAGAAAGTGAGGTATTCTTGAAATTTTTTCATACGAGAGTATGAAATTTTTTTTTCAACTTTTCAGCATCCAGAACTTTTTAGGTTCTGGTTTCAAACTTGAGGCGTATCAAAACTGGGACAAATTTCGTATTCCAACCCACAGCTTGCTTTGCTCTGTCACATACACTGCAATCTGATTAAAAATAAGAAGTGTATGAGTGCGAAAGAAATTAAAATTGTATTAAGATTATGTAACCATTTAATAACAAATTACTCGGTTATATGTGTACGATCAAAATACATAGTAATCTTGATCGCAAATATTCTTCTGCAAGAGGGTGCTTACCATATTTACTAATTTGGTTTCAGCTTTGGATACTTTACGATTCCTCTGTAAATTTCTCAGCATGTTTGTGTAGGTTGGCAATGGGGTGCAGAATCATCGTGGTCTGAAAATTCTGACGAGAGTGGGCCATTACTTATAATTTTGGACCACCGCTTTATTTCTTCCATATACGCGACGATTTTGAAGTTGGCGAATACTGACGAATCTTTGTATTTCTTGTTTAGAAAATTTGGTGGGCAAGCAAGACAAGATATCGAAATGAATAGAATTAGGTACAATCTGTCACACTGCAACTATCACTGCTGGATTTGGCTTGATATTGTCACTTCATACTACTCAATGTCGGCAGACAACGGACTCGTAGTTTCAATTTCATGTTCAAGGTCTTCACAAATTGTAGATCCTAACCAATGATGGTAATGGTTTTTTAAGATTTCAACTTGAAATAGAAAGCTCTTTTAGAACTGGTTTCCATTGCAAGTTTGGGCAAACACTTCACAGTCAGACTCTGCTTGTATTCTATCTGATATAATGTGTTAGAACACACTTGAAGCAACAGCGGCACGAAAAGATTCAACAAAACTTTATTGGACTGTTCAGCATTCAGACGCAAAGTCCCACCTCAGCCTCACAGGTGGATCCAGGACCGCATTCGCTGCAACTGCTACCAGGTTTGTATACACTTTTACCAACGATATTTCCTCTGTAATCAAGAACTTTGCAATTGGAAAACGGCTAATGACGTACCTTGGTGAATATTTGCATACAGACACATAGGATGAATGACAGTCAGCAACAGCACATCCTAGATATTTTGTGGTTGCCCATGCCATCTAAACGTGCCCTCACCTTGGAAGCTTGTTCATATGTAACTGGTGAAAAATTCAAAAGGTTTGGATGTAAAGTTGTGGTGTGTATTACACAATTTCAAGTGTCTGTATGTCATATAGTATTTGAAAGTGAATTTCGAATAATTGTTGTCGAATAACGTTAGGAATTCATTTGAGTGTTTATTCAAATTCAGATGTTGAATAATCATTCAATTAAATCCAAAGTAGACTAGATGGACAGGTATTGCTGAAAATAGAATCTCGTTTTCCAAATTGCAGTTGGCGGGTAGCTGGCATGGCAATTCGCTCTCTTCTCCTCTGCTTATGTGCAAGATGTTTTTTATGGTTCCTCCTGCGCCTCGAAGCAATATAAATCATATGAGAAGATGGGGACGAGTGGCGCAGCGGTATGGGGCGCCGCTATGACCACTTCGGACGCACGTTCGATCCCCGCCCTTGTGCCAATCAAGCCCGCTACCCTCCGGGACTACTGAAATTGGTACCAAAGTAATCTGGGAGAATAAAAGCACTGACTTTTAACGGGCTGTCCCCCGCAAGTCAATGTATAGGCTCGCACGCATACTAGTGTGCGTTCGGCGCATGCCCGCAGAGGGTATTGAAAACGATGAATTCTTTATCCTGTATTATATAAGAAGATCTTGCACAATAGTCGACCGCCTTTAGTGGCTTATAGGCTGCTGGGTGTCGAAATGGGATGCGCAGCCGAGTGTATACGTGTATACTCTGCTAGCGCCTCTTAAGCTGTGAAGGAGTTCGACGTTTTCCGGTTTCAGCCGGATGCCTAGCAAACAGACGACTAGGACAGATCCACCGCCATCTGGTTTTCCGGTCGGTAGGCGGTTCTCTCCGCTCCACACCCGGGGTCAGCGATCGCCCGTTGATTTAAGAGTAGGCCTAGTAAGTCTGCTTGTAGGGGAAAAATTTCTGATTCCTTCAGCAAGAAGAATTGAAAACCCTGTGTATCAGATCTCGCTTACGGCGCCAGATGTTAGCAAGAAGATGTCAGGGTCTCAGGGCGCCTTTTGGATCGGAAAAAAACGACACGTCTGCCCGGACGGAACGCCATGGAGACCGCTTTATTCTCTGCAGCTACAACGCCGGGACAGTCTCCACAAACAATTACCTCCAAGCTCTTCTCGACACCGCAGAGCACATCAAGTCCCACGTCATCACTCTGCAGGAAACGAAGTCCAGAAAGAAGGACGTGCGACAGATGAGTGATGGGACCCTCATCATTCGTGGTGGGAAGGTTACATCACAAAACCTTTCGTTCACCTTGTCGATTCGCATGAGATCCTATCGCCTCGACTAGCCATCCTACGACTATTATTTCCACGTCAGAAGACCATCAGCATCGTCAACTGTTACTCTCCAACATCGACAGCTAATAAATCATGACTAGGTGCACTCTACGGAAACGTGGAGAGCGTTAGAAGCCTCTACATGTTTGCTGTGAGCGATCTCAGTCGCTCAACGGAACGACTCACGCTCGATCACATTCTCACCAAAAGCTTGCTCGAAGTCTAAGTAGCTTCATGCATTGCAGTTTTCTGCAGTGGCTCCGATCATCGCCTCCTTCGAGCGAAGGTATGTCGGTTCAGTTGGTAGCGGGAAAAGAGGGTCTGCTACAGTAACGCAAGAAGGAAAAATGTCGTTCATGACGGTAGCAAGCTGGAGGAGCTCATATCAAGTTGTGACGGGCCCATCGAGGAGGACCAACGTACGACTACTACCGGCCTTTGGAAGGATTGCGAACCTAGGAGAATGCGCCTCACTGATTTCCAAAAAAAAATTGGAAACGCATCTCAAAGGCCATTAATGAGTTACTCGAAAGAAGAAGATCCTTAGGGCAAGATTTGGATGCAGCATATCTGGAGCGACTGATAGCCCACGCAACTTACTCCCCTTTGGGCAATTGGCTGAGCAGTTTTGCAAGAGGATCTGAGGAAGTACAGGCAAGCCAAGATACTGGAAGCAGTTTGAGGAAGACGAAGTCTTAAAAAGTGCTGAAGGGGACTCTGCGAATACCACATGCGCTGGCTGCACTATTGAACGAAGATGAGAACCCGACTTTCTTTCGTTATAAAATAGAATTTACCGCGAAAAACTTCTATAACCTAACTCGGAAAAATGTTTGCCACGCCTCTGCTGGCATAATGTTTTCACAAATTCTCATACAAAGTTTTAACTCACCGTTCCGCATCTACACAGCAGTTTTGGTGTCATTCCATTTCCTCTTCGCTGTGAACAAACTTTTTGTTTATTTTGGGGCACATTTGAATTTCCGGAGAGCAGAAAATTGCTGCTTTGCAGGGAATGAAAGCGGTAGGACACAGATGAGCATCCCCGATGTCTCCGGAAAATAAGAGGTGAGGTAAAAGAAGAGGAGAGTGATTGTGGGGGAGCGAGTGTGGGGAAGAGGAGGAGGGGGGAGTCAGGATTGTTGAAGTGGGGATGAGAGTCGGGAATGTGCATGTGTACTATATGTCACAGAAGCTGCGCAGTAAGTACTGTTTGTCAGAGAGAAGGATGCAAAAATTTGTTAGGTCGACGGGGTGAAATCGGTCAAACTCCAAATTCCTTTATTGGCCATTTTTGCTTTGTGATAGGGTTTTTTGAAAGTTTTTACTACTCCAGAGACCGATGTATACACCGTACTAGGCTTAGCTGATACATACATCTTTTTCGGCGTCCACTCGAAACTCACAAAAACGATACCCCCTGATTCTGAATCCGAAACGATATCTAGCTTGCCTAAACCGCCTGTGCCGAGCCCAGCTCTTGAGGTTGCCTATTTGTGTCGATAACAGCTTTTTTTTGCTTAGAACTTGATGATTCTGCTGGGAATTCGAGCATACCTGAGTAAACGACTCAATAAGAGTATGCGAATAGACCTTGTGAAATATTAAGGAATCACGAAGGCGCATGGTTTTACCAGCTTTCCACCATGATTCTACTGTCTATAAAAAAAACTCAAGTTGATTCATTTCAAGCACTTCCGCCTACCGTGACAACGGCATCAGCGAGACTTGTATTTCCAAATTTTGCGATTCGGGAGAGATTTTCACCGAAATACTTCTTGCCAGGCTTTGAGGTTATCGAAACACAACGTTTCGCATGATTTATTGCCATACTTTCCAAATTACAGTCATAGACCTTGAGCAAAATTTGCGTTTTTTCTACTTAACATTTTAAGACTTACCAACTTCAACATATTTTTGGCTTGAGGTAAGAAGTCTCCATTCCTTTTATATTTTCCCAGTGATAGTACTAATCTTAAGAATTTGTCATAAGCGGAGAAAGAAAAATGCCTCTTAAAGCAGTTTAGGCGCTTTGATTCTAACCTACGATAATTATGCATATCCAAAAACCGCAATCTGAGAGTGTCCGTCATTTCGATGTTGCTTGGACAGATTTGATTACCTGAAGTTTGTATGCATAACGCTATCTAAATTCTTCATATGCGATTAAAGTGTATTGCAGAATCTCTCCTAAATACATATTTAGGACCGAAAGTTTCGACCACCATTAAAACATTTCCATATTTCTGCAGAAGGTAATTTGCGTTGGAAAGAGCAAGCATGTACTCTCTAGTGGCGTCTTGGATCCTACTTTCTGGTTTGGATTCAAAGAGAGAAGAATGAGAGAATAAGCATTTCGGTGCTTCTAACAATAAGCAAGCCTGCTAAATTAGGTATATTTCTTTTGAATGAGCAAAAACAGTGCTGGTCGACTGCTGGAAAGTAATAGTTTTGAATGCTAAAAAATTTTTTGCCAAATTTTCTTTGACCTAAAACATTCAGAAAAAATTATGTTATTAACTAGGTGCAAGAGCGCATCAAATTCTGATACGTATCACATTTGCTCCGCCGATAGGGGAGAAATTAGGTATAGTTTCCTTTAAAACTTCTTGATCGCTTCTTTCAGCCGACAGTCTAGAGCAGCCTGGACAAATGTCGAGGCTTGGAAAATTCAAGCTAACAAGGAGAGAGTTGCAGCCAAGCTTACTAGCCGTCGATGTTAAGGACAATGTTCCGGCAGATTTTGCATTTCTACATTTTGGCATATTTTAAGCCTTCTCGTCGTGTATTAGGTTGGTGCAAAAATAATAGCCGTTTTGCAAATTTTCATTTTGACGTGCTTTGACTTTTTGAAAGATCCGCTTCTCTTAATGCGGTAACAAGCGTCAGAAGCAGCAAACTTTCTGCAATACAGCGCACATTTACCTATAGTCATATCACGAAGGGACAAAATGTGGATTGAAAAACAAAAAAGATTTTTCTGCCAGAACCTTGTTTTTGACAACTCATAACTTCCTTTGAGGTTTGTTAGTATGAATGAATGATAAGTAGCCTGTCTTGTAGCCGCAAGCCAGTAGTACAAAACACAATGAATAGAATTCGGACAAAAAATTTGCGAGAAAGCAAAAAATTGAAATTTAAAATTTCTCACTTTTTTCAACATTTTTCCAGTGTGCCTCAATGTCCAGAATATAGAATCTTCTGATTTTCTACGTACTAAACAGCTAGATAGGGGACGAGTGAGTAGTGGTACGAGGCGCCGCTATGACCAGATTGAACACAGGTTCGATCCCTGCCCCTGGGCCAACCAAGCCCTCTACGGGGCCGGTAAATTGGTACCAGAGTAATCTGGGAGGATAAAAGCACTGACTTGGAAACGGCTAGCCTCCACAATCACTGTAATAGGCTCGCACGCATACAATCGCCTCTTCGACTATGAAGTTAGTGTGTACGTTCGGCGCGTGCCCTCAGAGGGTATTGAAGGCGCCGAAACCTTTATCCTTTATCCTTTTCAAACAGCTAGATGTTTTCGCAAAAACTGCCAATAAAATGCCCTACCCCTACGCTTACGAAAACGGCGATCGACTTCTTCAAAAGAAAGTTTAGGCGCCGATATCTCAGTCTAGTTAAGTATGCATAATGTAGACAATTTCTGTCACATACAATAGCTAAATTTTCGAAGAAGTGCCACTGATACGCGCTTGAATTCTGGCCAGAAAAATGGATGCAATGAAATTCTGAATCTGGGTGCGGTTATTTGAAGCTCAGTCACTTTTAACAGATGAGGAAAACCCGTTTCAAACACCATTAGATAGAGAAAACAGCATCTCGATGGTACATTACATCTATTTTTAAAGAATAAGTATTAATGGAAAAAAGTTGCCCTGAAAAAAGGCTTTAATAATCGGCCATTGTTTTGCACCAACCTAATAGTAGCCCATCTGAGCTTGAAATCGGGTGAAATGACCGTTATCAAGGCATTTAATTATGTCAGACACTCGCTATTGACTCCGCGCGGAGTTTCGACCAGAAAATGGCTGATCGCACCAAAATCCGTGCGATCAGCCTGGCGGGAGTCATCATTTTGTTCTTGTCCTGATTTTGGTGCCATTTTGTTTGAAGCGCGCTATGCGTAAAGGATATTCGTCGACGACTGCCCCGTTTAGTGCATTTACACCACCGCAGGCGTGCCTCGTTGGGGCCTTTCGAGCCTGACAGTACGCTGCAGCGCGCCGGGACTTCATAGCTCGCAGCAACACTGTCCTTTAGCCTCTTTTGTTGATTTAAGTGTTTCGCATCGTTTTTTCTTCTTATTTTTTTATTTCAGGCAATCAACCGTTCTATGTCTACGTGAGACCATCGTCGCGAGCAATGCAGTGGTGGATGTCATAGCTATGAATGGGATTGCATATTTTCTTCAATGTTTTACAATGATTTGATATGTTTCCTGGGACATACCACTGAACTGATTACTTCAACACTCCCACATCAGGGACACCATGTAGGAGTGTTGAAATAAACATCAAAGTGGCCTCATCTAAGGAAACTCCATGATACCACCACTGTTTACGGACAAAGCACACCCTTTCACCTAACTTTACCCGAGGAGATGTTCACGTTTTGAAAAAGAATGTTTGGTGGGTGAAAAGGGAGAGGAATTCAAGAAATGTGTTCTAAACAAATTTTTTCCTTACCTCTCAGTATTCATCAAAGTAGAACGTAGGACATTTGAACATCGAGAGAACCTAAGAAAAAGGGAAAACGAATGACTGACTGAAATACGTAAACTAAGAAGAAAAAACGATGTGAAATACTCGAATCAACAAAAGAGGCTAAAGGACAGTGTTGCTGCGAGCTACGAAGTCCCGGCGCGCTGCAGCGTACTGTCAAGCTGGAAAGGCTCCAAAGAGGCACGCCTGCGGTGGTGTAAATGCACTAAACGGGGCAGTCGTCAACGAATATTTTTTATGTGCTAAGATGGTGATTTTGGAAGTTGCGAAATAACTGTCATCCCCCAAATTATTAGGTCTTACTGATTATTGCTATTCTCTTCAACGTTTTGCATTGCCTTTTTTACATTGCTAATAAACGCTTACTGACCATCAAAATCTCACAAAGAGTTGGCTGTTTATGATCTACAAATTACGTCAGCTTTCATGCCCGAGGATGCTTTCAAACTGGGCAAGTCCATTCATTCATTTTAATGTTATCTTCCTCCGCCTATAGCATTTGTCAAGCAATTTATCGCTTCTTTTACGACATTCATTTACGGTTTCTCATTTCAGAAGGCCACGTGTCCAAAGTGGCAACTGCACTCAAAATCTCTGCATTTTCTTTGCAACGAGAGTGGGTTTTTCTTTTTAACCTCCATCAGCTTGTCTTAAAAATAGTTTTGATATAGCGATTCTTTCAGACTTCAACTCGATTTACTATCGAACTAAGCAAGCTCTATCAAATATTTCCAAATGTCCGCAAAAAGTGTAATTTTAGCCATCTTAGAGGATAGGGATAAAATCTACAGGACTTTTCAAACGCAGTGTCGATTGCACCAGCATCTCCACTCCCGCGCTGGTCTTTGCGTCTTTTCCGCGAACATGCTCTCTAATCACTTCCAATCGATTCAGGCTCCTTCTTTCCCACGCTCGCCCTGGGAAAGTGATCAGAGAGCATGTTCGCAGAAGAAATGCAGAGTCCAGCGCGGGAGTGGAGATGCTGATGCAAGAACACTGCGTTAAGCCCCGTAAATTTCTTTGACTGCTCGGCAAGTTGAATCTAAGCAAAATCCTACGCATTCTTCGCCCACCATAAACACTCCACACCAGACATTCATCAGGTTATTCATCATAAGTGTAAGTTTTCATACATCTTCTTTCAAAGCCTGTTTTTGAGAACCTAATTTTTCAAAAGTCTATAACATCAAAAAGATCTTTTCTTGTTTTTAACTGTTCATTTATTTCGTAAATCTTTGTTTGTTCCGAAGTTCTGAGCCGGCCAAATCTCAAAAATTTCCTTCAGCTCTGTTTGCCTTGAATTCAGGAAAATAGTCTCTTTATTTTTTCAAAGATGTGTACAACGATTGCAAGCCGTATGCCAAAAAATACTTTTTTTTACATAAATTTTTGGAAATGAGTTGTGGGAGTTGACTTTTTTGTTGCTTAAAAAACTCAAGCAAAAAGAGATTGCGAGCCTTTTGCATATCCTGCATTTGTAGACTCCGTAGGTTTAGTGATACAAGATCGAGTTTTCACACTCTTTAAGGGAAAGAAATTGAAAATATCGAGAAAGTCAAGATGAAAAAGAGTACTTAAACTACAATGTTTTATCCTGAAAAAATTCCGTAGAATTTGAATTGAAACATAACTGCTCAGACGTCATCCATTGTAACGTTCCGAATCAAATTTACCATGGTTTTCGCTAGACGAGTGCAATAGCTACGACAACGGACACGCCATGAGGAAAGGAGGAAAGTATGCGCTATTTTTCCACATCTTAGAGTAATTATGGTCTCTCACGTTAGAGGTAGAGATTTGGCAGATTGCCAGAACGCGTGATGACTGAAATCGCGTGAGGTACGCCCGGGGCTTAACGCCTAAAGAAAGTTACAGTTTTTAAATAAGCACGCCAGTCTCGAGCACCTTCGAGAATTTTGCAGAGTGCTTTCATTTGCTGCAATGATGTACAGCCTACCGGGCTGCACGTCAGGAGGTACGCCGCGCGCGGCGGTCGTTCTGCCTCGCATGCCGCGTCTAACTTTTAAGGCCCCGCTGTTAAAGGCAGCGTCCACCCAGAATTTGGCCCCCCATGTTTTTGTCATTCTGAGGCCTTTCCGTGGCCCTGATTACAGTTCCGAACTTCAAACTCTCTAAAATTCACAAAAAAACCGATTCTTGGGGACCCAGTCTTGAGGGCGCGGACGAGTTTCGAATTGCTCGTCCCGTCGGCAGGCCAGCGGGAAGGAGCTGCAACTGCATGGGTGCAGTTGCATTGCAGTGTGCAGTGTGCAGCTTCTGCTCACTACCTTGTCAATACGTGTCGGGAGGCACGTATTGACAAGGTAGTGAGCAGTCCCTGGTGGGCGGAGTCTGATATCAGACTCCGCCCAGCCAGGGATTTTCAGGCCCCTTATCTCCATTCGGAGACAACGTTAGAAGACCGGACCAACGTAGATGCCCCTTTTCTGGGGCCTACATTCAGGACCGACACTAATTGAAGGGGGTTAGGTTTAGCCTGGACACTGCCTTTAAAGACTCCCGGCGGCAAAAACAAGGGGATGGGGATGGGGGCAGGTACATGACCGATGCCATAAGTAACACTGCACCAGGAACGCTCCTGTTGCATTGGCTGAAGTATGGTGAGCTTGTGTGCTTCGCGAAAAAATCGCGCCGATCGTACCTCCTGACCGTTTCCCCAGCCTACCGTTGTATCAAGTACAGATTTCTAAAGGCCAGCTGAATAATTACATTCCAGACAGTCGAAGTGATATCTCCAGTGGGCGAACGGCGCGAGTCTGGCACTTCGCGCTCTGGAGCGCTCCGGAGCCTTGCCATTTTACGCATTTTGCTGCTCCGGGGCTCTCCCAAAACTGGCGCACCTCCGGAGCAGTGATTTGCGCATCCCGGAAAGTAGTCCCATTCGCCTACTTGTGACGTCACTGTGGTCACGATGACGTGACCACGGTGACGTCACACGATGACGTGACCACGGTGAACGAATGGGACCCTTCTCCGGAACGCGCAAATCTCTGCTCCGGAGGTGCGCCAATTTTGGGAGAGCCCCGGAGCAGCAAAATGCGTGAAATGGCAGGACTCCGGAGCGCTCCAGAGCGCGAAGTGGCAGACTCGCGCCATTTGCCCGCCGGAGATATCACTTTGACTGTCTGAGATACTCAAAAAAAAACATCGAGATTTGAAGTGTCGTGTTTAGAAGCTGGTTTCTCCAAGCTAGCCAAAGAAAAATTGAATATGGATAACTGTGGTAAAGTGATCCAAATGATCAAAGCGCAACATGTAGCCAAAATCATAATGTAATACGTCAAAATTGTTTTTTAATACTCTGATTCACTCAGCCATTCACGTTCCTTCTCTGAAAATAGATAAAAAATCATGGAAGTTTCTGGTTACTTGGTTCATTTCTCTTCTTTTACGAAGTGTTTGTGGAACCTTAACGAAAAAATGGAGCGTGGAAAAAGTCCTTTAAAAAACTCTTAAAACCACGTATGCGTTGGGCCGGCCTCGTAAAAATAGCATTGGAAGAACACTGTGAGCTCTCTAAACAGTGTCGAAAAAGCGGCCCTCCTGAAGTGTAATTTTACACTGCAGGTGTTCAAACCCAGCATTTTGACCTCGAAAAACTGTGACTTCTCCCTTCACAAGTGATTTTTTTGCCTTATATGGTCATTGGCGTGAATAATTCGTAATATTGAGAAAAAAACGTGTCATGGCCGCAGTTAGTAATCACCAAGGAAGTGATCAAAGAGACTGAGTGCATGGGTTTGAAGACGTTTACAAAACAAACGCTTGATAATATTTGTATCTCATTTTTGCTTCTTACTGGATATTGTGTCTCATATTTCGATAAGCAACCAAAGAGTTCATTTTTGAAAATTCCAAATTTGCTACTTTTTTTATCGATCTGCTTGTAAAGCTTACCCAAATAATGATAAACATAGAATAGTGTTTTGGAGGTAAGAAAGACAGAAGTGAGGAAAAAAGAAAGCACACACGTTTAGGGAAGAAAGAGGTGTGAAAGAGGAAACAGAGGACTCAAATGGTCGTTTGTCTCTAAATCGATAAATAGATCGTGCTCTAATCGCGGTCGGAACATCATCTGTCTCAAACAGGTATTCCGATTTCAATTGGAATGTGTCGGTCGAGACATTCCGGTTAAAAATCACCGCCTGATTTCGTCGCTGCACTTTTGTCCCAAAAGCAGTTGTCCTAATTTTGTTCCGACACCTATTTCGTGAGTCGCGCAGGCATTCCTTGAGCACATCTCGTTTGTCCTGCTCGACTCAACTGTAAAGGTCTAAGGCACTTTCCAAAAAGCAAGCGACGAGAGTTTACATGGAAAGTCGAGAGGCCTTGGCACGAAAATCTACCACCTGTAATTTTGCACTGAGTGGCATGCACAATCCAGAAGTGACCATGGTGTTCACAGGCGGAGTGGGTAAACGTAAGTGCTCGAGCGCGCTGATTTGGGAGCAATTTTCTCAGGGCTAAGATCATGTAGCCAGGTACGGCCCGAAGGTTATTGGGGTGATCATGATCCCAACTACACCTATATTCCCCAGACTCGAACCTGTCGGGACACTGCCCTCAACTTTTCTATGTAAATGCAGTTTTTGTAGGAAGTAGGATTGGAAGAGAAAAAAGTACCTTTTATGGGCATAACCGACTTCTGCGGAACTGCAGGAGATACCTTTAATACATTTCCAGCTGTCGCCTCTCGTTTCACCCTTTCGCTCCTCGCTGCTCTACAAGTGGTGGTCGTAGCACATTTAGGTGTGGTTGTGCGCGACATAGTCGTCGGTCTTGCTGTCTCTGTAGAACTTCTTTCTGTAAAGTCGATGTTTGCATAGTTATGGATGATATCGTTGTTGTAGTGGCAGGACTTGTAGTACCAATAGTAGTAAATGTTGCTGTTTCTATCTTCGCACTCGATGTGGTAGTGCTTGTGATGGGTTTAGATGTCATTGTGGTGCTTGTAGTTGCCGAACCGACTCTGTAGATTGGATCTCCATTATTTAGCGACCTAAATCCCACATTTCGAACAAAGAGCGTTATGTTATACTAGCTGGCTTACCCGGCTCCGCCGTATGTTCCAAATAGAAAATTCCATTTCTTAACCGATCCGGACCAAACTTGGCACATGTACAGTTCGGGCCCCGGCGGGTGTCACAGTCCACTTTTCGTTATCGATCGATGTCGATTTTATCGATTTTTTGCAAAATTTGAGCTAGGGGGCTGGAATTTGGCAGAGGGGTGTAATCGAGCATGCTGATCACCCCCACGGGGGTGATCAGCATGCTCGATTACCCCCCCCCCCTGTGCCAACTCCCAGCCCCGTAGCTCAAACTTTGCAAAATATCGATAAAATCGATATCGATCGATGACGAAAAGTGGCCTATGACACCCGCCGGGGCCCGTAGTGTATGTGTGCTAAATTTGGTCCCGATCGGTTTAGAAATGGAATTTTCTATTCGGATACGTACACACATACAGACAGACAGACATACAGACATACAGACAGACAAACAGACATTCAGCTTTATATATAAGATATCATTTTGCAAACAGTGCGAGTTTTACTGAAGTCTTGAAGGACTAAAGCTATGGAATCATTTTCACAAACTTAATCTCTCGAGACTCGAACTTTTAGGGCAGCGGGCTTTGAGCCTAACCTCAGACAGTAGATGGGAAACCTCCGGGGAGGGGTCCAAATATGGAACACCTCGAAAGAGCGCTCTTAATCATCGAGAAGGCGGGGCAAGGGGCGATCCACTCGTGATGACGTCACATAGGAGCTAAAAACGATTCCATCTAAGAACTCGCAAATCTGTGCTTCGCGAAGCACAGAGGTATAGGCCCCGTAAAATTCGATTGCCCACGCGTCGCTTTGAACACCAACGCGCGGGGCGGCTGGAAACGTTTGGTCCCGAAGCGCTACTGGCTTTTTGCTAGCGACAATAAGCCGCGCCCTTTCTACACATATTTTTTCAAACTTTAAGGGAGCTTTCGTTAAGATATACCTTGCATTAACGAGAACAACATGAAAGTTAAATAAAGATTTCTTGGAATATAGTGAACGCCGACAGTCTTTTGCGATGACCGCTCGCTTATAGTAGACGTCATCCGTCTAGTCACCCCGGTGCGGTGTGTGTTACTGCACACAAATTTGAAATCCCGGATGAGGTGCTGGGGTCCCGCCGGCCGTACTTGCACCAAGTGCACATACGGCTAGATTTTGACGCCAAACTGCCTGTTTCACTCATTTTAATGCTTTTTCTTTTGTTTTTTGCTTCACGCACGGTCCGATTTTCGCTGGTTTGTCACCTTTATACGTCTTGCGTGCTGTTTCAGATCGAACAGTTTGAAATTTATCACTTTTGCTTACAGTTAAAAGAGGCAGATGGGCAATCTTGCAGGATTTTGAAGCAAGTCTACTTTCTTTAGTATTGTCGTATGTAGAAAGCTTGGAATATCTTTTAGGCAGTACCAGTTTCTACTTCCTTTCCATTGATATCGAAAATTCTGGTTTTTTATGCCAGTGCAATCCTGTGCTTGACTTAAAAACAGCTTCTCATTGAAAACTCGGCAAAAAACCAGGATTTATATCAATGAGAAGGAAGTTGAAACTTGTACTGCCTAAAAAATAATCTACGCTGAAAAAGGCAGACTTACTCAAAAATCCTGCAAGGTTGCCCATCTGCCTCCTTTACCTGGAAACAAAAGTGATAAATTTCGAACCACTCGTTCTGAAACAGCACGCACGACGTATAAAGGTGACAAATCATCGAAAATCGGACGCTGCGTGAAGCTAAAAACAAAAGAAAAAGCATTAAAATAAGTGAAACAGGCAATTTGGCGTCAAAATCTAGCCGTATGTGCACTTGGTGCAAGTACGGCACGGCGGGACCCCAGCACCTCATCCTGAATTTCAAATTTGTGTGCAGTAACACACACCGCACCGAGGTGACTAGACGGATGACGCCTACTATACGCTGGTGTTCAAGGCACGGCGCGGGCAATTAGGTTTTACGGCGCTTATAATAGCCAATTTGCTGACGCTGACGCTGATACACAGCTAGGCATTTTCGAAATTGAGCTGCCCTCGCTTTCGGACTCGCTCTTTTCTTGACTCTTTTCCGCTCATTTTTCTTTTTGTTTTTCGTGTTGCTCTTCTGCGCGTTGGCGTTTATGTTGTTCTAATTTCCTCCTTTGCAGGTTTATGTTTCGGGTTTTCATGCGGATGCACTCAATCACTTTGGGTAGGAGAACGAAAGCCGCCATTTTTCCCGCATTTGCAGACTACTAGTCCTGCAACGACATGCAACAACACTGCAAAAGACCAGTTGGCCGCAAAAGGCGGCTCAAACTGGCGGCCTTCGTTTTCCTACCCAATTAGTTTTTGTGTTTGGCTCTTTTTCGACTTGCTGTTGATTTCCGCGTTCTTTACCCTCTTTTTCTTCTTCGTTTTACTCTTCGGCGCGTTGGCGTTCATATTGCTCTAAGGTCCTCCTTTTCAGATTTATGTTTCAAGTTTTCGTGCGGATGCACTCAATCACTTTTTGTATTTGGCTCTCGTTTTCGACTTGCTGTTGTTTTTCCGCGTTCTTTACCGTTCTTTTTCTTTTCGTGTGACTCTTTGGCGCGTTGGCGTTTATCATGTTCTAAGTTTCTTCTTTTCAGGTTTCAGGTTTTAGGTTTTCGTGCGGATGCACTTTCAAACCATCATTTTTGGTTCTCAGCTGGCCAAGGTTTTTTGGTAAGACTGTAGGAGTGTACAGCTACATCATAATTTCTTTCAGTTATTGATTATTTGATGGTCAGACACCTTTCCAGACCTGACCTTTGCTTATTCAAATCCTTTTTTCAGATCTGAACAAAACGGGTAATTTTGCTGACGACTGGCTCGACTATCTTATGGAGTTCTTGATTGATCCCAACACACTCTATGGAACTGCTTAAAGAAAAATTTTGAATGTAGGTAAGCAAATTGTGGTTAGAGCTGGTCGTACTTCAATTTCAGTAGCATCATTACCTTCGATTCTACGAAATGCTTACCTACCTTCGATTCTACGAAATGCTTACTTACCTTAGATTCTACGAAGAACCGTCAACCTACAATTATGAGCAGTTTCCATTTAAGGTCAAAAAACCTTTGAGGTATACCAATTGGCTTATCCAAACTTTACCGTACGGAACTTTCTCATGAATGCCGGGTCGAGTTATTACTTCCTTTTGCTGCAGCGGAATGAGAAGATTTGATGAACAAGTTACAGATTTTCGTGTGAAGAAACAATGAAGTTTTGTTCATTTGGTAGGCGACAGTTTGTTTGCTGCCAACGCATGGATAAAGGTTAACCAATTTAGGCAAATGTTACACGTAAGTATCAGCACTTTGTTTGATCTCAATTCTAAAACTTTACCTTACATACTAAGGAGCCTGAATGTGAGATTTGTCAGAAAAAAAATAATCTCTTTCAAACTAGACATGCAAGGTTCTCGAAAGGATTGGATGCAGTAGGAAGCTGGGTGTTACTGCAAGGTGCGTTTTTTAAAAAAGATTATTTGTCACAATTGTTCTTATGTAATTTGCGTTGCTCTCATGCCCTAGATGCGATTTTGATTTTTTTGATGAATTATCAGGTGATCTACGATGCTTCTTTAGTGATATATTTTGAGGACCGGCGCCGCCCTCCATATCCGGCTCAGCTCGTTTTGTATAATCGTTTTGTTTATAAGAGCAAAGAGTGCGCCATTAGGGTAAAATTAGTCCTAAGATTTTTTCCAAAAGAGTACCTCAAACGAAGAAGTGATAATTATTAGGGCATTCTCAGCATCGAATACATTTAATTCGAATGTAATTTCAGTTAATTTTAGTCATAGCTGCCTCTTTTGGTTTTAGAACTCTAACGATCAATCACAGCTTTTTTGTTCTAAAACCCTCATACTATTCGGCCAAAAACGCTCCGCGGATGAGATAGATTTGGAATAAGCACAAGAGGTTGCATATCTCAACTCAAAAGGTTGACCATCCTTCCTTAGAAGTGCCAGTAGAGTACGGCGTAAGAAGTCTTCTCATCATGTCCATTGGGAGCATGAATCATCTAGTATTTGTAGATCTGATTCACTTGAGTTCATTATTTGAAGATTATTAATAAAGCGATTTGATTAAGAGTCGCAATCGTTTGAGTCTGTCTTCCCTTTCGCGTTTGCACGTGCCGTCATCCCCCAAAATAACGTTGAATGGCTTTTTATATTACAGTTTCATCTTAAAGCCAGTGTCCCACCAGACTGGGGATATCTGGCTCTCGTAATGATGTGATAGTAGACCCCCTACCTAAGCGATGACTGAAGTTCAGAGCGAAAAAGGGGGTTTACCAAGCCTGAAATTTGCTCCGAAAGTGGGCCGAATCTTACGGTAGGGCCGAACGCCGCCCACACGGCAATATCGATTTGCAGGGCCAGGGTGCGTATAGCGCACACATCATGAGCGCAGGGACCCGCAATGACTCTGCGTCTCTACCTTGCATGCACCTCGCACTCGCCCGAGCGTACCGTAAGATTCGGCCCACTTTCGGAGCAAATTTCAGGCTTGGTAGACCCCCTTTTTCGCTCCGAACTTCAGTCATCGCTTAGGTAGGGAGTCTACTATTACATCATTACGAGAGCCAGGTACCCCCAGTCTGGTGAGACGCTGCCTTTAAGATGCACAAGCAACCGTGCCTGAACTCTAATATACGTTGATTATAGCAACGAGTTCTGTGGATATAACAATGTGTGTAGTTTCAAAAATCCTTACCTTTAGAACCTGATAGGTACTGGTTAATTTCAAAGTTATTGAAAGGTCATAGGCCATGGCTATCAGCTAGCAATGTCAAGTGTTTTTGTTTGCTGCAACTCCTGCGTAAGAGTGCGCTTCGATGGTAAGCGCGACGTGGACGGCGGCGCGCGCTGAGCCGAATATGAAGGGCGGCGGGCCGGTCCTCGATTTCTGTCAGAAATATTAGGGTGATCACTAAAAAATGG